ATTTGTTTCTTTAACATTTTTTACCCAATGGTATACTTACTGAAACAAGTGCCCGTTATATTTAGCCATGTACAGAAGTAAGATCTCGGTAATCTAAACCCCCCCCCCCCCTTTCCTGCATAATGTTCTTGTGTGATGCAGTGTACATATTACCTTAAAGTTTGCAAATTATAAATAGATCCTAATTTAATCAAATAGAATTATTTATTTACTAAATCAAAAAAAAAAAAAAGAATAAATCAATCAATAATTAAGGGAGCCGACTGGGGTTTTATTGTGTGAAAACTACTATAGAGAAACTCTTTAATTTTATACCATATGTACCTTACATTGACTTCGGTATACAAGCTAAGTTTAGTGAAAATCTACCGTCTGGTTATTTTTTAGGGACCATCTCAAAATACAGGTACATTTACTATAGGATTATATAGGAAAATACCATTTTTTCGCACTTCGAAGCAAATTATACAAATGCTACTCTAGACTTTTTGCTCAAATTATACTATTTGATAGGTAATACTATATTATACATTTTGTGCATGAAACACAAAATTCTACCGTCTGGTTTCCAGAGGGAGCATCTCAAAATGTCAAAATTCATGATATTTTCCTGTTTTTATGGAGTACAACAAAACATGATAGATATCACAGATTTACACAAAAAATAATAAAAATGATTGCTAGATTCTCAATTTCCTATGTTTAAAATTTCAAGAGCATGTACTTTATACTTTTTATTTTATGGCATAATTAATGACCCCGCTTAAAGAACTTCGGTTATTCATAACGTCAAAAACACACTATTACGACGTCTGTATACCCATTATTTGAAAAATCGTTCATAAATCAGTTATTTAAAAATGTAATTAGATTTTTTAACCTTAGATTTCCTAAATTTGTTAATTTTTATAAATTACGTAAAAATAGTTGCTTTAAAAGAGTAAATACGCCTTGTTTTACTATGCTGCGCGAAGTATTGCGCAATGAAAACCCCAGTCGGTCCCCTTAAATAAAAAAAAAGGAAAGGAAAAGAAAATCAATCCGTTTACAGAAATCATACGCAATTTAATCATTTTTTCCACACCAATAACTGAGTTAATTTGTCAGTAATAAAAAGACATTTTAATATCAAGCTATAATTGTAAAATCATTGAATTCTGTAAAAGATTATGAATTACAAATATAATTATTTTTTTTCAGTGCGTAATTTAGAGTCTAGTGAAAAAGATTTGTACATTAGACGATGATAGGCATTTCACCGGGCAGGTCACATACTCAATGACAACTATTAATTAATTACAACTGAACATTGAGTATTTTATCTGTGAATATAGTACTGTTGATGCGAGTTTTACTCTTTACTTAATCTAAATGATTGCAATTCTTAACTAATCTTTGACTAATCCGTGATAATTTAGATAAAGTTCGAGAGATTCCGAATAGAAAATCCAGATCGAGGTCAAAGCGTGCGAGAATCGTGTACAAAGCGTGTGAGAAATGTGTACAAAGCGTTTCGTGCAGGCTTTCGTGTTAACCGTGCAGTCTTTCGTACAAAGCGTTTCGTGTAAACCATGTAGCGTTTCGTGCAAACCATGTAGCGTTTCGTGTAAACCGTGCAGCGTTTCGTGCAAACCGTGTAGTGAGCGTGTACCGTTCGTGCAGCATGCCTGTGGGGTAGTAGCACATTTCAGGGTCTGTAATTTTAAAGAAACCATTTAAGATATATTTATGTAAGTTTATGCACTTATACATAATTTGGCGAGAATTTATCATCTATATCCAACTTTTTAGATTTCAATTTCAATTTTAAAGAAACTATTTAAGATATTCTCATCAAATATCATACACTAAAACGAATTTTCAAGTTGCATTACTAACATACCCTCAGTAAATATTATTTTCATAAATATCTTATATTTTTAATTTTATCATGAGATAGAATATTATTGATCTTTCTATTTACCATATCAAATTTTCTTCATATCATGATTAGACATAAAAAACATATTCCTGGAGAAAAAAAGTCTCGATTATATACAACTTATAAAAAACAAAAACAAACAAACAGAAAAAAACCCACACACACACAAAAACACACACACACACACAAAATGAAAGAAAAGAGAAAAACACCAGCATGATATAAAATGTTTTAATTTGTAAGACCAACAGAAATTCTATTGTTGGAAGCATTCACAGTTATTAGTCAAAGTTACTGATAAAATCTTTGATTTTTGGAGACTCTATCATTTGCAGTGATGACTTAGATTTTTTTTCTGAAATAATTTGTAATACCGCATAGTACGTCAACCAAACACGGGTAACGTCAATTTCTAGGTGGAAAGTATATAACATCCTTATGATTTGGGAGCATTAAATTTTTGTTTTCAAATTCTTAAATTAAAAGCCCATGCACGTAATTCAATACATTGACAGGTATAAAATAATAAATTGAAGGTAAATTTGATCTGGAAGTGATTTTTGGGAACGTAACTGCCGTGTACACTTTCAATAAAAAATGGACCTAAGGAAAAACAGATAGTTTAAGGATTTTTATTTTTCTTTAATTTTACTACGAGTTTAAACTGCATATTTAACTGCATATTCATATGCATTAGCATCATTGTGTTTACCAGTCATAACAATTAAAAGTGACGTCATCGATACATAGTTCGAAACGTGCAGGCTGCGTCAAGTTTGAGGACAATTTTAGGGTACAGACGAATTTAGGGTATACGACGATATACATAATTATGGTTATCAACTTATCAGAGTTGTTTACTTTAAAAAAACATTTTGTTGCCATGGTTGAAAAACAAACAGAAATTTTGTGAAATCATTCAAGATGCTGTATTATAAAATATCTTCTTTTAAAGTTTTTTGCGTGATTAGACTTCTTGCATTTTCATGAATAAAGTGAATAATAATATCACATTTTTTGTATACAGATAAGCAAGAATATTCATGAATAGTTCATGAATTTTATTCATTCATGAACATTCCTGAATAAATTTTGTAAAATTATTCATGAACAGTTCATGAAGATGCAATGAACTTATTATTGGACAATTCTTAAGATGATGAATCTTCATGAATATGACTCTTCATGAATTATTCATGAAAAAAATATTCATGAATATTCATCAACTTTCTTTTATGAATAAAAATTCATGATTTGAAAATGTCCAATAATAAGTTCATAGGATCTTCATGAACATTTCATGAATAAAATTCATAAATAATTCAAGGAAAATCATGAATTATTCATGATCATCTCGCAGGGGCAGAGCTAAAAATGTTCAAATGTTAACACACAATGCACGTCGACAGACAAAAACAGATAGCAGTAGGTCACCTGAGTGATTTTTTCAAATATTTCTCTATTGGAAAGTATGGATGCATTATTTATCTATTTTTACTACATTGACTATAGATCAAGATATGACACACCCTCAGGTCATAAACAATATTTGTGTGAAGTGGAAACTCCCAACATCCCAACATTATTTGCCATAAGAAAGATATGGACTGGACATAGATTATGAATTTTTTCTGTCACAGACCTTGAACTTGCACAAATGACCTTGGGTTAAGGTCATGACACACCCTCAGGTCATAACCAATCTTTGCATAAAATGGGAACTCACCCGAGTGAAGTTTATCCATCAGAAAGATATGGACCGGACACAAATTATGAACTTTTTCTTTCAGTTACCTTGAAATTGTTCAAATGACCTTGGGTCAAGGTCATGACACACCCCCATGAACAATCTTTGTGTGAAGTAGTAGATTCTAATGTTCCTCCATTAGAAAGATATGGACAAGACATGTTTGCGGCACAGACAGACAGACAGACAAACGGACAAGGTGATTCCTATATACGATTTATCATGACTTTGCATTTCTTTAGAAGACAAATTTTGAAGATTTTTCCCATGTATTCCTATGCAAAACTTTGATCACTTTTTGTCAGAAAGCTTTCATATAAGCCGATAACTATCCAACGGGGTCATGATTTGGACACTACCTGAGAATGCTTCCATATAAATATGACTGATCATGGCTTTGCTGTTCTTGAGAAGAAGATTTTAAAAGATTTTTCTTATATATACCCATGTCAAACTTTGTTCACCCATAGTGACCCCACTCTACCTCCTGGGGTCCTGATTTGAACAAAATTGAATCTTCGCTATGTCAGGAAGCTTTCATATAAGTTTCGTCTTTTCTTGTCCAGTCGTTCTTGAGAAAAAGATTTTTAAATAACCCCACCAAATTTTCACTATTTGTTAATTATCTCCCCTTGAAAGAGGGTTAGGCCCTTCATTTGAACAAATCTTAATCCCCTTTACCCAAAGATACACTGTGCCAAGTTTGGTTGAAAGTGGCCCAGTGGTTCTGGAGAAGAAGATAAAAATGTCAAAAGTTTACAGTTTACAACAATAACAATGATGACAACAACAGACAATGGACAAATTTTGATCAGAAAAGCTCATTTAAACTTGAGCCTCTGGCTCAGGTGAGTTAAAAAATCATTAGTCTGACCCTTAAATATGATAGCCACATGCATCAAGTAATATTCAGTGCTGCCAACATCATCAAATGAAAATTCATAAGTCCAGAGGCTGCTAAGGCCCCAGGCCGCTAGATATTTTCATTTTGATTTGTTTGAAATGATTTAGGTCACACATTAGCATAGAAACAGACAATGACAATACAAGCAAGCGCTGTAAGGATTATGACTTTTGTATTATAATAGTGAAACTGAAAGTGGACAGCTATGAAAATATAGGTATTTCAAACATCTGACAGAGAGAAATGGAGATTCTAAGGATAAATAGATAAATCATAATTTTAGATGCTCAAATCATAAGCCTTAAAACAAAATTGTAAGGGTTGGCAGCTCTGTAAACTGCCCACCCCTTTGAGTTTCATAATAACCATTATGGTGGATGGATCAGAAGCATGTTGATTGCAGAATTTTCACAAATAATCAAGCTTACCTTCCTAATGGTATGATTTTCTGTATCAGCTATATAAATAGCACCACCCTTCATTGCTACACCTTGTGGAGAATCGAAACGGCATTGTGAAAATTTTCCATCTTTAAACCCTCTGTCCAATCCACCTACACAGTGCTGTAAACAAATAATTAATGAAAGACAAAACTACATGTAGAAATGGGCTTATAAGATTCTTCATAAACTTAAAGAAGGGCATATAAAAATAACTTGGAAACTTAGCAAGCTTGCTAGGAAATTATGCTGCAAATTCCCACTGACTACATCTTTTGGAAATGTAATACCTCTGGTCATGAGCAAAAATATGACTATCTTCAGTCTAAGCATCATAAGAGGCCCATAGGCCACAATGCTTACCTGAGTAATTATCTTCTTTCTTGTTCTTTGTCAGCAGATTCTTCTTCCTATATATTTTGTAAAACTATGATTGCCCATTGTAGCCCCACCCTTCCTCTGGATGCTTCCATACATATTACTAATCATTATTTTGCTGCTCCTGGGGAAAAGATTTTTAAATACTTTTCTTGTCTTCCTATGTAATACTTTGTTTAACCATTTTGGTTCCACTCTGCCCCTGGGGTCATAATTTGAACAAACTGAACCCTACACTACATGAGGATGTTTGCATATAAATATGACTGATCATGGCTTTGCCGTTTTTGAGAAGAAGATTTTTAAAGATTTTTCCTAAATATAATTCACACGTAAGACTTTGTTTGCCAACAGTTGCCCCATCCTGTCCACAGGGGTCATGATTTGACCAAACTTGTATCTAGTATACACAATCTGAGAATATGACTAATCATTGCTGTTCTGGGAAAAAGACATTTAAAGATTTTTTCCTACATTTTCCTATGTAATACTTTGATTGGCTTGCCCATTTTGGCCCAACCTTGCCTCTGGGGGTCCTGACCTGAACAAAATTGAATCTACACTATGTCAGAAAGCTTTCACATGTTTCATCTTTTCTGGCAAAGTGGTTCTTGAGAGGAAGATTTTAAATGACCTCACCCAATTATTACTATTTCCTAATTATCTCCCCTTGGAAGATGGTGTGGCCCTTTATTGGAATACACGATGATAGATCCTTAACACTAGGTCAAAACAGAATTCTAATTCTCCTTTAGCGATAAATGTTTCTCCCCACACATTTCTATTGATTACTGAATGAACCCTCTTTTTCCAAGGATACTCTGGTTGAAATTGGCCCAGTGGTTCTGAAGATGAAATTGTATGTTTTTAAAGACAACAACAGACAATTGACAATTTTTTTTTATCAGAAAAGCTCACTTAAGCCTTTGGTGAGGTAAAATGTCATGGCCTTAAGAATTGTTACCTTCTTAGTAAAGTTATCTTGCTCTTATACATAGAATTGTGATAGACCTTTGCTAACAATTAAGCTACCTCTGTGCCAAATATGACCTCCTGATGCTTTAATACAAAATCCTTTAATACAAAAGTTTTTCTTTCTCTTAGAAATTCATATTTCAGAGACCTTCAGAATTTGACACTTTTTGAACTGTGAACTTGGCCTTTCTAAATTATTTTAGTTATAAGGCATGACATACATATCCTATTTTACTGTAAATGTATTATATTTAGCATGTAAGATATTTGAGGATACTGATTTTTGAACAAGTTAGCGTAGATTTGATTTAGAGCATTTCTAAATGTTTTTATTTATGTACCCAAGTGCAAGACATTTAGCATTGTACTTGAATTAGCGGAAGTTGCTTTCCGCCAAAGGCGCTAAAAAGAATACACAGCCAAATGTATTAAATTTACAGTATTACAAATTCAACCATGAAATACCTTTGAATAAAAGCATTTTTTTCACATTCTAAAACAAGCTAATTCAGAGATTTTGTGTCCCCTGCTTTAAGGAAAAAAGAAGAGCATGCGCAGACCTATAAGGAGCCCCCCCCCCCCCCTTTCCCTGGATTTGCAGAGTAATTAAATGTATGTACTGAAGGAAATAGAAAATGCCAATATGGATACATAGATATTTGATTGCTTATTCTTTAAAATGTGTAAATGACTTTATGAGAAGGTTTTTATACTCAGGTGACATGATGCTCAGATGTCATAACTTCCTCATTTCATATGTTGAATACTATCAATTAGTAAATCTAAAAAAATTTTAAAAAATAAAAAACATACAGGGTCGTCAGGGACCTCTCGCATCCAAAACGAGAATCATGCCCCCAGACCAACGAGGAACTTGACTTTGATACAAATCAAATGCAAATATATGTATATACATGTACTCATGTTCAATATTGTCAAATTGTACACAACACATGGTGTCTAATTTTGCCTTTACTAAACAGTTCTAATGGATGTAAATAGAATACTAGTTTTAAATGTAATGGGGACCGTTACAGATGTTCCCTGAATGCTCCCCAACTCCCTTTTGGTGTCTTATTACCTGTAAGCTTCATTAACTGTGGTAATCAAGTATTTTGGTCGTTTAATGGATTACACATGCACACATATGCATGCATGTGCATGATATGTTAAAAATGTCAAGAGTGCAACATCTTTTTGTGACATTTTGAAAATTCAATATTTTTTGAAGATCTGTGAAATAAATAATAATGGTTAATATGTTGGAAATAAAGACTTCTCTTATAATATTCAAAGTACTGGGCTTTACATTTAGACTGTAGCAACTTTCGTGTGACCAAGATGTGGTCATGGCTGAATGTTGAAAAAAATGTCATACCATATGTCAGGAGTGCAACAGAAAAAATGTAGTGTTGCCAAAAAAACTACGATTTTAATAATATGAAAGACAATAAAGTCAAAAAGGAATTTTCAAAGTGTAAAACAAAAACTGATACACAATTTAAAACTTTAAAATGTCATGTAAATCACAAGCAGCATTAATGAGAGTCAAGTATCTGTGCATACCCAACAATGTCAGGAGTGCAACATTTGATGTTTTGTTCCCCAGCTTGAAAAAACTTTTATCAGTATATGATTCTCTGATTTTTATGCCCCCGGATCGAAAGATCCCGGGGGTATATTGTTTTTGTCCTGTCTGTCTGTTTGTCTGTTTATCTGTTTGTCTGTCTGTCTGTTGTCAACTTTAACCTTGCCCTTAACTTTTGATTGGTTGGAGCTATGACTTTCATATTTCACATGTGTATTCCTTGTGACAATACCTTTCTTTGCTTACCATCATATTTGACCTTTTGACTTTGGAGTTTGAACCACTTTTGCAAAATTTTATGAGACTTTAACCTTGGCCATAACTTCTGAACAGTTGGTGCTTGGGGTTTCAAATTTCAAATGTGTATTCTTTGTGACAAGGCCTTCCTTTGGATACCAACAACTTTCACCTTTTGACAATGACCTTGGAGTTTGACCTACTTTTGAAAAACTTTAACCTTGGCCATAACTTTTGAACAGTTGGTGCTTGGGGTTTCAAACTTCACATGTGTATTCCTTGTAACAAGACCTTCCTCTGGATATCAACCTCTTTGACCCTTTGACCTTGACCTAGGAGTTTGACCTACTTTTGAAAAAGCTTTGAATTTTATCAAAAAATTTCAATTTAATGGTCATTATTTTTGAATTCACCCATAATACAGTTCATTTTCTCATGAACTATCATAAATGGGCATGGACATCTCCATTGTTACATCATAATACCTTACTTGATGTCAAAACTATAGTGCAAACTGTTTTGCTTTAAAAATGACAGTTGAATGTTGTTATTTGTGGCAAATAATCAGAAAAATAATGATAATATAAGAAATGAATTTAATTTTTGAAAATTTATGAGGTACATGAACTTCAACGCTTCATGCCAGCATATTTATCATGAAGCATTAAAGCGCTTCATGAAATATGCCGGCATGAAGCAACATAATTCAAGTCCTTATGAATCTTCAAAAATTAAATTCATTTCTTAATTGAACCCTGGGTTCAATATTTTATAAAAGGGGGGGGGGGGGGTGTCAATATTTCGCAGCCATCTTTTGAACCTGGGTTCAAAATATCGCTGGGATCAATATATTACTGAATTTTAGTTACAAAAAGGTTGCCATTATAAACAGCATCAAACAAGTTTGCAATTGATCAATCGATAGTTTTTTAAATAAAGCACTCTCAAGTCGAATGTCTGATTTCACAATCTTCTTACAGGGATCTGATAGGCCATATTTAAAAAAGTGTGGGCAAAAATTGTGCGGTTACATTTCTTTCATATTACATATAAAGAAATATTTTGTATCCTAGAACAAAATATCAATTATTCAAAAAAATTGAATTTGAGGAAAATTTTGGCCTATCTACTGTGTACTACCTTAAATGATACACAGTCTTGGTGACACAGATCAGGGTTTAAACTTAACTTAAATTTCCACTAGCCATGTGGGCTCCTAAAGTTTTATATTTAGGAGCCCACAGGTGAATTTGTTAGCCCACAATCTCTGTGATTTTTCTCCCGATTCTTTGAATACACTGGGACAAAATAAGTAGATACCAATTAAATATAAATACATTTATTTAAAATCAAAATTGAAGTTCTTACTTTGTAAAATTGGATATCATATATAAATTAAATCATAGGAAATGAAACTGAATTCAATAAACAATTTATTTATCCTTTTTTACAAGTGTAATATACATAGTCCCCTTTTCTGGTCATTGGACTATATATTGCTCCTTCAAAACTGATGAAGTGACACTGTCACACTGACAGTTTTGTTTAAATATTTTAATTGCAACATGTCTGAAATAAGTATTAACACTTACTATTCATACAATTGATTAAATGGAAGTAATTTAATTTGATAACTATCACGTATCAACCATTACACAAAGGAATGGAGGAAATTCAGACTAGAAAAAAAAGACAATTAATCTTCTTAGGGATTTCACAAATCATGAAGTACTGGTAAATGGATTAGATGAAGGATATTTACAAACAATAGGACGATGCTGCTTTGATTTATTTCAGTGGTTGGGAGTTTCAAAGCAAAAACCTTGGGAAAATGTTTGTTTTTCAGTAAGAGGACTGGGAATGAATTCTGGTCCCCTGCAGATTTTTAATTCGCCATGTGGGCAAACAAGTTATAAATTCTATGAGGCCAAGCCAAATTTTACTC